ATGACCTCCATTTGTCTAAATATACACAGGGATTAAGGAGAGAGCGCAGGTAACTTATTTTTCTTTGTTTTTTAACTATATATTGAGGCTGATGTGTACTGTGGTTATTGCTGCCGCCCAGGAGTGATGGGAGTGAGCGCAGGACTTATCTTTTTGTATTTGTATTCACTTTTTTGTATCGCACAGCTTTGTTACAATGCAGCCGCCGATCCCATGTGTTCCCTATTAAGGGTTAATAAGTATATAGGGGTGTATATAAAAAATACCCCTCTCTGTCTCAGTGGAGATATCTTTGCCAGAAGCTCAAGGAAGCAAGGTGAAGGGTCAGTGTAGGACCCGCTTAGGAGGGTCTGCCTTGACGTTGGCAGACGGGCATTCCCTCTAATGGCCATTAGAGTAACTAAATGACCTCCATTTGTCTAAATATACATAGGGATTAAGGAGAGAGTGCAGGTAACTTATTTTTCTTTGGTTTTTTATTGGGGCTGATGTGTACTGTGGTCATTGCTGCCGCCCAGGAGTGATGGGAGTGAGCACAGGACTTTTTTTTTTGTATTTGTAATCACGTATAATATGTCGATACTAGTTTTGAGCCTTTTAGGCAGTTCAATGACCTGGACGCTTATACCTAGCCTCTACCAATCTTGTTCATAACAAACCATAAAAAATGTATATTTAGCCTGTTATTATCATACAAAAAAGAGGTATTACTAAACGACTATGAATTACCATGTCAGATTTTGTGCTTCACATTATGAACCTTTTTTTCTTTCTGTAAAGTTATCTAAAATATTTAAATAATATATTTGGATACACTTTTCAAAATGATTTAATATTTTGAAAAATATTTAAATATTTTGATATGTCTTGGTGCATCAATATATATTTCTATATTTTTTTTATATTTTACTATTTTGAAAAAATCATTTTAAAAGTTCATCCAAAAATATAAAATCGTTTGAAAAGCTTATCAAATTCTATAATTAGAAAATTAAAGCAGCATTTTTCCAAAAGCCGAGATATTTTTTTCTAAATTTAAAGCAATATGATTTTGCATATTCTCACATCCTCTGCCACATATGACATCTTCTACCCTTAGAGAATCAATTATTATGTCATGCTTTTGTTTCTAACTTGCAAATGTACCAGATGTCCCCATGCTGCCACAGTTGATGATGCTTCCTAGTGAATTCAAGTGAAACCATTCGGCAGACCCAAGATCTCTCAGTCAATGGCTTCGCTCTTGTGTTTAACCCATTTCTGAGACTCATGAAGCATTGCCTTGCATATGAGATTCATTCCACTAGAATTCTCACTTCTACCTGTCTTGTTAATTAAAATTCTCATGGTGGTGCAAAACAGGTAGCAAATAAATACAGGAATAATCATTTACAATGTATCAGAAGTTCCTTAAAGCATATTCGAGATGTACTTTATATGTAACCAATATATTTTAACCAATTATTTTATTAAGCATTCTTGTTGTTAAAGTGAAACACGTTTTTGTTTTATTCCATCTAGCTAAATTACAACATGACGAGTAATGAATTTAGTAAGAGATCAAAAGATTTGATAGAGAAGAGAAGATTTGAAGAAAAAAAAATACTATGCCTTCTTAAAACAGGAACATATTATATAAAATACAATGAACATATTAATGATGCATTACTGACATTTATAAAATAGAATATGGAGCTGCATTGTTGATTTCATTCTATGACAGTAGTCCAGGTGTATCAAATTCTGGGCAACATCAGTGATTCATCCAAAGAGAAAGAAAAATTCATCCAAAGAGGAAAAAAATAAAATACACTTGAGACACAGTAGTATAATTTTGTTAAAACATGTTTGATATTCGCTGAAATACAAATAGCGAAACTCAGGTAAAATTTGCCAATAGTCACTAAATACATTTTGGATTCAAAGCCAGAAATTTTCCGTGAACTATGTGAATTACGCGAATTCTGAACAATTTGGCATTTCCTTTAAAAAAACAAAACAAAAGAAGGTATGGAATTATGACATAATATGCAGATAAACACCAAATTAGATCAATTTAGAAGTGGTCCTAAAAGCATATGAACTGATAAAAGATTTGATGGAGTTTTTTTTTAATTTCTGTGGAAAAGCATTGCAATATAATTTGCATAAATGTATGACACATCATATTTATATTAAAACATTATATATGTATATATGTAATGTTTATGTTGGTATTATTTATTTATTCGTGAGAAAAGTATGCAATAGGAAATGTTGGATATTGAAATGTAAAATATATATATAAATAAAATCATGCACAGTTTGCACACAGGTAAAAGCTGAATTTTTAAGTTGCTCTACCTAAGTTTGTAGAATGGTTCCGATTGTTGGAATTATTTGAGCAATAAAACAATTTGCTTAGGTGACAGATTCCATCCCAGCATCATTTGTTCAGAATACATTATGTTCACAGATGTATGTCAATCAAACATAACTCTCACAGTCTCCATATGTTTAGGCAGATGTCTCTTTCTTTAACACTAATATCACAATAACCCTTGGCAACGTAACATTAGTTAAGCAATATAAGGATACTGGATGTGTCCATAGCATTGATCTCTTTATTTTAAAGGACAAATACAATGTTTCCTAATTGATTCACTATACTACAGGCATGTTTTTAACTTGATATTGATTGTCAGGCACTAACTGTCACTGGGAAATATAAAAAAATAGGGAAGTGATCAGAGGGATACAAACTACAAAACTATCAGCAAAAAGCAGGAAACATCTTGTTCACAGATGCATCATAGTGTGCGAAGAGACAGCATAACTATATACAATTGATACAGTTCCTCCTAATGGCTAGTACAATGAAACATACGTGTTCTATATGATTATTGATGTTGTTCCTTTAATTACATTGTTACATTGCTGAAAAGAGACTTGCGTCCATCAAGTTCAGCCTTCCTCACATTTGTTTTTTGCTGTTGATCCAAAAGAAGGCAAAAACAAAAAAAAAACAGTTTGAAGCACTTCCAATTTTGCAACAAACTAGGAAAAAAATTCCTTCTTCATCCCAGAATGGCAGTCAGATTAATCATTGGATCAAGAAGCTATTATCCTACATTGAAAAATGAAATCCTTAAATATTCTGTTTATGCAAGTATGCATCTAGTGGCTGTTTGAACATCTGTATGGACTCTGATAAAACCACTTCTTCAGTCAGAGAATTCCACATCCTTATTGTTCTTGCAGTAAAATAAAACTTTTCTTTGCCTTAGACGAAATCTTCTTTCTTCCAGTCTAAGCACATGACCTTGAGTCCAATGTAATGTCCGGTTTGTGAATAGATTTCCAGACATTTATAATCATGTTAAATAGAAGGGGTCCCAGAACAGAACCCTGAGGGACATCACTTTCCACCTCTGTCCAGCTTGAAAATTTGCCATTAATGACAACCCTTTGTACTCTTTTTTTAAGCTGATGTTCTACCCAAGAACAAGAATTTTCATCTAGAGAATTTCTTTGAGTTTGAACACTAATCTATTGTGTGGAACTGTATTAAATGCCTTGGCAAAATCAAAATAGATCACATCCACTGCAACACCCTAATCTATACTTCTGCTTACTTCTTCATATAATGCAATCAAGTTAGTTTGACATGACCTGTGCTACATAAAACCATGCTGATTCTTGCTGATAACCATGTTCCTCTCAAGGAATTCTTTAATATTATCCCTTAATAACCTTTCAAATACTTTTCCAGCCACAGATGTTAAGCTCACAGGTCTGTAATTTCCAGGCAAGGATTGTGAACCTTTTTGAATATAGGAACCACATCTGCCTTCCTCCAATCCTCCGAGCACTTCCTGAAAGAAAAGAATCTTGAAAATTAAAAACAGATGTTCACTTATTTCTACACTTAGTTCCTTAAGTACTCGTGGATGAATACTGTCAGGCCCTGGAGCTTTGTTTATATTAACTTTCTTTAGTTGCTGCAGCACCTTGCCAATTAATTTTGTTTCTGCAAGTTTTTAGCAGCAATCATTTGCACATCTATTGCCATGAGTTATTACTTAATATATACGGAGGAGGAGAGAAATAATTATTTAAAATGTCTGCCTTTTCCTGGTCTTCATTAACTAACACCCCCATCCCAGTTTTTAGTGTACCTACACTTTCATTTTTGTTTTTTTTTAGAATTTATGTACTTAAAAAATGCTTTGGTTTTTTTTTGCTCTCTTTGGCTATCATTTTTTCATTTTGAAGTTTAGCAAATCTAATCGCCGTTTTACACACATTATTGGCTTCCTTATATCTTTTTATAGGATGTCTCTGATTTGTCCAATTTAAATGCTTTCAATGCCCTTTTTTATTTTTAATCTCTTGTTTTACTTCTCTACAAAGCCACATTGGTTTCAATTTGTTTCTTTTATATTTATTATCCAATGGTACATACTGAGAAATGTACCTTTCTAATATTTGTTGGAAGATGTTCCATTTATCCTCAGTGTTGTTCTCACTAAAGAGTTTATGCCAGTCAATACATTGTAAAGCTAGCCTTAACTTATAGAAATTGGCCTTTTTAAAATTATACGTTTTAGTATACCCCATATGCTTTTGTTTTATTGAGTTTATTTCAAAGGACACTATATTGTGATTACTATTTCCCAAGTGCTCACCTACTTGAAAGGAGGTCAAAAGATCAACGTTGTTTGTTAGAGTCAGGTCCAGACAAGCGTCCTTTCTAGTTGGTGCTTGTACAAGTTGTGACATGAAGGTGTCATTTCAAAAACCTAATTCCCTTTCCTGAACTTCTAGTCCCTCTGTCCCAATTTATGTCTGGGTAATTAAAATCCAATAATTAATGTGTTACCCAGATTTGCAGCTTTCTCAATTTTCTCAAACAGCGGTTGTTCCTCATCAATATTAACATTAGATGGTTTATAACATATCCCAACCAATAGTTTATTTCCCTTCTTTTGCCCCAAGCAGATATTTATACATAAAGCTTGCATATCTTCCTCATTACATTCCACTTGCCTAAGATTTGGCTATAACTCATGGTTGACATACACACATACCCCACCACCTTTCCTGTTTTTTCTGTCCTTCCTAAATAGTGTGTACCCATTTAAGTTAACTGCCCAGTCATGTGTCTCATCTCATCATGTTTCAGTTATGCCTGTTATGTCATATTATTTAGTGTATGCTATTGCCTCTAGTTCCCCCATTTTGTTATTTAGGCTCCTTGCTTTAGTAAGCATACATTTAATATTATCATGAGTCACTTGTACTTTTTGTAAATTATCAACATTACATACCTTCTCTGTTCTGTGCTTGCCCCTCCCCCTGTCTCAATCCCCCTTATACTGAGCTACATCCCATCTCCTTTCTCTCCTATCTCGATTTTGTAGATTTCTATGACCCTCCCCCCACTACTAGTTTAAAATCTCCTTCAACCTTTTAGTCATCTTATCCCCCAGCACTGCAGACCCTCTCCCGTTTAGGTGCACTCATAACTGCTATAAAGGTTGTACCCAAGCGCAAAGTCGGCCCAGTGCTCTAAAAACCCAAAACCCTCCTTCCTGCACCAAAACTTCAGCCACGCATTGACCTCTCTAATCTCTCGCTGCCTTTCCACTGTACCGCATGGCACCGGTAATATCTCAGAGAATACCACCTTGGAGGTCCTTTTCTTAAGTTTGCTACCTAATTCCCTGAAATCATTCTTTAGGACCTTCCATCTTCCTCTTACTTTGTAATTTGTACCAACATGGACCAACACGTAAAAATTGCTCTTTTCTGCTGTTTTTTCTTTCTATCTTCTGGCATCTTCCCCAGTTAATACTGCAACATCCTCATAAGGTGACAGTTCCAGCATCCCTAACATTTTAGAAAAATATGACAATCCTTGAGGTGAATTCTCTTTTATTACCCTGGATCAGCTGTAGGCAAACCTTCGACACTGCAGATGCTGTGGCATTACTTCTCCCCTGATGCATTGTCAGCATTATGGCTGTAGGAGCATTATGGGAGACCTAGTCCACAACATCTAGAGTACCGAAAGGTTTCCTACCCCCTGCTCTAGATGATCTCTATGCTGCTGTGTCTTCAATGAGCATTCAGATTCTCACCAAAAGTTATGAAGATATATTTTAGGCTTCTCATTCAATTCAAGACACATCACTTCCTTTCCTGTTGCATTACTTACATTCCTTTATTAACTCTTTATCTATAGTTCTGACCTACATCTGAAATTGAGATGTTTATACAGGCAGTGAATAACCTGAGAAGATTGCATTTAATTTACACACTAAGACTGTCGTTCATATATTCCCCAATACCACATTGCTTTTTCACAGCTTATAACGCAGTGTTCACAGCTTCATGGCTTTCCTCAACTCATCAGAATAATCCTATAGATATGCAGTCTACTATGTAGGGTCAAATGTACATGCAGTTTCTGTAATGAGATCCACACACCTTTTGTTGTTCATTTCTAATGGGAATCTTTTATATTGTAAACTTGTTTTTGTAGGGCCATCTTCACCTGCTGTTCTCCCATGCCAAACATGTTTTGTAAGAAGTAATTACCATCTCTTGTGCAGCACTGCAGAATATGTTGGCACTGTATAGATCATTGTAATTGTGAATTAATTGGTCATCTTCCTCCAGCAACCCTTTTATTGTTTTTTGCTATTCTATTTTTTATGTTCCATTCAACCATCATTATCAGAAGGTCAGTCTTAGTGTAGAACATTCCACAAGTCATCTTTGGATAGCAGCATTGCCATTTGGAGTCACCATATTAGGTAATTTCCATTTGACATTTTACACTTAGTTACAGCTAACTGCTTTAATGCTCATTGAAATGGCCTACATGACAATATCTCCATGATTAAATTAACAAACAAATTAGAGTGTATGTTAAAACAAAAATATATATCTAAAAATATTTATGATGCCAGTATATAACCAAGAAACATTTATAGTCATTTATTGTGAGGTAAAGTTTTTTTTAAAGTTTATTTTTAAGTAACACTAGCTGCCATGGAACGCCTTGAGCGATGTATATTCTTTAACCCTTATTTGTTGGTATGTAATAAATGAGCCAGTTTTATTCATTATATCTGTAGACAGTCTTAGGAATTTCAGGTCATACATATATATTCTAAATTTGTATCACATTTTATGGGACTTCTATTAAGTTCATGATAAGAGTACTTATGACAGTTCTAGATTCATGCTAATGTTACTTTTTTATTTTACACAGATTTTATTTCTATGAACTCTTTACATATGAAAACCTCCAGTTCACATTAATGTAAAAGTATAAGAACTTAATTGCATAATATACTTGATGCCAGCTGAACCAGTTATTCTCCTGGAACTGTACTTAATTAAAAGGTGTCTGGCAAATTCAGTGCCAAGCCATCTATCACAGTACTCTGTTTTGTGCAACATCTTTCTGTTATATGAGTAACCTCGATCATTCTTTAATATATGATTCCATTTCTCATTTAGTGCATTGCAGAAGGTTCACGTATTAACTTCTAATCCACTAAATATCAAATGAAGATATTTTATTAAGGGGTACTAAGCCAGGTCCCCCCTTATTGCACTAGCCACTGGGCAGCAATAGCTGCCCAGTCACTAGTAGTTTTAAATGACAGCGAACAGCCACTGGCTGCTCGCTGTTTAGGCAACGTGGGGCATGCGGGAAGATTTAACATCCCTTTTATTAATATGGGGGACATAGTGACCTCCATAGGTTTTAATGCGGCGGGGTATGTATAGTTAATATTTATTAAAAGGGGGGAGCTGGTAGCGCTGCCGGATCCCTCCTTGCTTTTTATTTTGCCCATGCGCATTGTTAGTTTTGTCCTAAAGGACAAAAACGAATTATTTTTTTACCGGATTTTGTCAGAAAAACTAATGTTTTACGCACGAAATTCGGAATGGACGAATGAAATTTTTATTTAGTATGAATTCATTCATAAAAAACTAAAATTTCACGGGTGCACATGTCTACTCTGAACTATTTTATACAGAAAATACTACGCTATTAGTGATGTCCCGAACGGTTCGCGAACGGTTCGCCATGAACGGTTCGCGAACGGTTCGCCATGAACGGTTCGCGAACGGTTCGCCATGAACGGTTCGCGAACGGTTCTCCACGAACTGTTCTCCACGAACGGTTCTCCACAAACGGTTCGCCACGGACTCATCATTGAGTAAACTTTGACCCTGTACCTCACAGTCAGCAGACACATTCCAGCCAATCAGCAGCAGACCCTCCCTCCCAGACCCTCCTACCTCCTTGGACAGCTCACTAAGAATGCAGCTTCAAAATGGATGCTGGGAGGGAGGTGGGAGGGTCTGGGAGGGAGGGTCTGCTGCTGACTGTGAGGTATAGGGTCAAAGTTTACTCAATGATGAGTCCGTGGTGAACCGTTCATGGCGAACCATTCGGCGAACCGTTTGGGACATCACTAATATCTGATACTCTGATACTCCAGCTGCTTCTATTTCCTTAAGGTCCACTGGAAAAAGGAGACAAATTAGAAAAGATGACACAAATTTCCTGCAATCTAGGCCACAAAGTACTAAGGAAGCCAGAAGAGTAAGACAGGGATAGAAAAGCATTCTATCAATTCTTAGAATGGTTTGTGAATGACCTCCATTGACAGGAAAAGAAAGAGTGCCTGCAATAAGCTAACATAAACAGCAAACCAAGGCAAGGCAATAAAAGTAGACATACACAATGACAAGACAAAGCATGGAAAGAGTCAGGAAATCAATGCATATATGAGAATCAAGCCAAGGTCAAAAAGTAAAGCAAAGAATGATCAGGAACAATCTAAATGAGCCAGTGGAAACCATGAGAAAGTAGTAACGCATATGAGTAGTAACACATATTTTAAAGACCAATGGTAATGCTAAAGCAGTCGAAACACGTTATGAGTAAATGGTATGTTTGCTGGCATGTTTTGTCAGATTGGCACTGGCACATGCTTTAGAAATGGTCATCCAGCGAACCATTCGGGACATCACTATATGCTATATATTGTTGTATTCTTTCTCTTTTATATATTCAACTACCACCGAGACTATGTCTACTTCTGAAATCACACCAAGGTGCTACCCCCTCCTTCAACCAGACATATGTTCCATAAACCCTAACTTTTGAGGGGATTCTCACAAGTGGTTCTGATGACCACTGACAAGAATGAATCACTTAACAGATTATTTATTGTAATGATTCCATTGTGTGTGGATAGGATAGATATGTGCACAATAAAAGGCAGAAGGAACTTGGCAACTCTACAAGTCCCTATAATTCTTCCAATTTATAAGAACTTATTAAGAGTTATTAAGAGTTATTCACTGAAGTGAGAATTCAAAGTGAATTTAGGTCGGTCGTCTTGGCCTTAAATTTGAAATTCACTTTGAATTCACTTTGGATTCTCACTCTAGTAAACAACTAACACAATTGAACTAGGAGAACTTGGGTCCCTTCATTCCAAACATAACATTTCAATATTGTAAACAGTTACTTTACTTAGTAATATGGACCACTCCAGCGAACTTGTGCTATGCTATTAGATTTTATTACACCTGGTTTTCTGTCAGAGTACATAGAAACGGGTGTACTCATCATTAACAAGCATTTTCCACTCACTTTGGAGGTGTAGCACACTTTAAGAAGTACACAGGAATTGGTAAGTAAGATTTACTAGTTATTATTATTATTATTATTGCCATTTATATAGCGCCAACAGATTCCGTAGCGCTTTAGTTATGATCATTATGTTTTATTTTGAGAAAGGCCGAAGGAAGGGCAGAAACGTTGATCATGAAATGTGTGTAACCATTACCATGGTTTATTTTTTTACTAATTTAAATCAAAGTTTTGTTCTATGAGAGCATCAGTTTTTTATTGATACATCCAGCGTTGGACGCACCAAGGCAGTAATAATGGAGGTTGAGTGTCGGTGTTTGACTTATATATTTATATTTATATTATTATTATTATTTATTTATTCATTTATTTAAATGCATTGCTTATTTTTTCAACAATAATTCCTCCATGCTTTCTTTATAATCCGCAGACAAAAGTTATAAAACTAAAATCTTGATTACAGTGCCGGGCAAGAAACCTCCTTTCCTCAATGCTTGTGACTTTTGTTAAATTGGATTATTCTCATAGAAAAGTATTAGGAAACATGGTACATGAGAGGCACTTGCCATGATCCAGCAGTGCAATATTTCTTAAAAAATAAATACCAGCATACTTGGCACAATGATGCCAAAGTCCAGTAGATTCAATGTTAGAATTTATTTTAGCCTAAATTCTATGTCCCTCTAGTAGGCATGGAAATTGCCAAATGACCGTGCAGGGGGTCGCAGTACCTACATAGCATCTATACATTAGAATGTCCTTTTTGCTATACTAAATTTAAATATGCAATATTTAGAAACAAGTTTTGAATTAAATGTCTTTGGATTCTCAGTGCTTTTTTTTCTTCTCTAACAAGGAAGAGGTTAAAATAAAATGTTATTGTAAATTTTTCCCATGAGACAAGGTGATCATTTAACAAAGACAGCCTGTGGGCTTCCCAAATATGACAGGCTAGCAAACTGTGTTGATTGAACTTACTACTAATGAAAGGGAAAATAATTTTCAAAAGCAAAAAGGTAAACTACAGCCTGGCATAGCTTAAACAGCCACCCAGCCATACATATATTTTTCCTCAAGGGAGTTTTATTGTGCACCTAATTAAACAGAATGTAAGGATAAAAGTTACGCTCTTTATGACTCATTGAGTTGGTTGAATGACTGAAAATTTCCACCGGGTAAAGTTCAATTTACTTCTTTGCCCCAATTAACAATGCTAATTGGGGCACAAAATCTGTGCAAGACAAACTCTCCTTTTTTTCATCATTGAAGAAATGGCAGGCAGCCAATAATTCACTCAGGAAAAAAAGTTTTCAGCCGTCAATCTATCCAACAAAATGTGTCTGTGAAATTATACTGACTGAAAAATGGCTATTTACGGCTCAAAGTTTGATAATATTTAAGGTTTTTCACAAATTTTATTTACAATTCTTGTAGTTCTTTCTAAAATCTAACTTTGCAAGTATGTTTATTGTTTGCATTATAATATTTTATCATATCCTGTTTGCTTTATTTATTTTTGTTTAGGAAAAATTCAACATTTACCTGAATTATTCATTACAAAAGCAAATTAAAATCCGAATCTAGAATAGCATGGCTCATCTGATTTTTATCCTTAATAAAATATGTTTCAGTTTAACATCCTCTAGTGTTGTCTAATATACAGTCGCAGTGCAATATTTAGTGACTTTGTTTAATTTAAGATAATAAACAGACGTGATACAAATCATTTACTAAGGAAATCATGCTATGTTTGGGAATAAAATGCCTTTAGCTTTTCATTATGCAAATTACAAATACGAGGGAGTTATTGGAAAAAATATCATCGTAATAGAGAATAAGCTGTTTTTTTGTACGTTGTGTTTGCATGTGTAATATTTTACTTAAACCCTATCTTGTAATTTGCCAAAAAAATACAAGTTAAATAATAAGCACATTAGAAATGTCTTATTCTCAGTTCTAAATTGAATTTAAATGAATATTTGATTGTTGTTTTTTTTTCATTTTATGGAATAAAAGAATAGAGTAACAAACTATACTGCAAAAAATGGAATTGCTACGTAGTGATATAAGAGTCAGAATGTAATAACTGATTAGTGTAGCTTTGCCATATTAATATTAGGAATGCAATATACCATTACTTGTTGTGTTGTTTTAGATATTTATTGCAATGCACTGTACTCTGCTGATTAAGTAACACTTCAAATATGTAGGTGGGGGGGAGATGGAAGGATTGTGAGAGGTTCATGTGATTTGCCCTACTAACTGATCTTTGAAAAATTGGAAACTATCATAGACATCAGTGATCAGCTATCTAACTCAATTTCTAAAGTGGTTGATTGATTGATTGATTGATTTTTTAAATATAAGGGTAATATATTATTCTTACCCTTCTGACACTGAGCAAATCTTTTTTTTTATCAAGCTTTTTATTGCTAATACTACATGATCAAGAGTGGACACCTCAATAAAATTGTGTACCCTTTTATACACTGGCTTCTTTCCACACACTATGACCTTGATTGAATTAGTTTAGATAACATTTCAAATGGTCACAAATAATTTATCAACAAAAAATCTCATATACTTGAATGGTACTCGTGTTGATAAACCATTTGAAAAGCTTATTCAAATGAATGACACTGAGACCTTTGTTGACTATACCTGCGCATGGTGGGGTGAGATACGTGCTGCTCAGTTCCTTCCCTGCAAGTCCTGAAAATTAAACCAATTGTCCGTGTTTGCTGTACCTCTAATGCAGAAAGAACTCACTGACATTTCGGTAATAGGCTAAAAACATAATCTAAGAGCTCAGCGACTCTGTTTTGTGATTGGCTGAGCCAGACAGAGGCTTCCTGATTCAAGCATCAAACTGCAGTGAAAGTAGTGAAAAACAAAAAAACAAAAAAAAAAGATTCCTTACCTGAAAGAGATGAAATGAAATGAGAGGGACCACACAGTTGGGTGTCCAGCCAGTCCAGTGTCCATGCAGGCAGGAGCAGATTGAAAAGGAGACTGAGAGACGGTTCAGTTGTCTGTAGTCTAATGGCTACCTTCGCCCTTCACAGGCTTTTTCAATGCAAAATTTAAAAAACATTTTTTTTATAAATATAGGAGAAAAAGCAGTGTTTACATGAGCAATAGCCTTCCAGTGCTTTCCATGGGCCGCAGGGATACCGGCGCTGGAAATAAGGGCAGGACAACTACTTTTACAACTATGCTGTCAGCAATACATGTTTGTATTCCTGACACTATAATGTTCCTTTCAGCAACCTAAAGAACAGTCTGGTCACTATAACAACTGCATATAAATGAAGATATTCTGTTATGGCACCAGGAGGCCTCTGGACGCTCTCATTACTTTAAGGGGTTAAACAGCTCTCAAATGGTTAAGCCCCATAGGCTTCCTCCAAAGGCAGATCTACAGATTGCCCAGCAACATTCGGCTTCTGAAAAGGAGTTTCAGGAAGCACAGATTGCAGCTGGGCAGGGGTGTCGTTGATTGGCTAGAGAGGTCACCTGATGCTCTAAGGCAGGCTTCCCCAAACTCCGGCCCTCCAGATGTTGCTGAACTACGACTCCCATGATTCTTAGCCTATCTATTTAATTCATAGAATCATGGGAGTTGCAGTTCAGCAACATCTAGGGGGGCCGGAGTTTGGGGAAGCCTGCTCTAAGCCAATCAGTAACTCTTTGCCATACCCAACATGTGGCGCCATTACGCAGCGGCACTCTGACCTTTCTGAAACTCAGTTTCAGAAGCTGGATCCTGCTGGAGGACCTAAAGATCTAGGATAGATTTTAACTCATTAAGTTAATAGAGCACCCTGGGCCTACTGGCACCACAACAACTTCATTTAGGTTAAGTTGTTATGGTGAACAGTGTTCCTTTAAAAATAAACAATATGCCTACAACTCACATAATCAAAAAAGTGAATACATTGATAGTTTTATTTATTTTACCTGGGATGATGAGAGGGTCCAAAGTCTGCCTGTCAGGTATCAAATCCTCAGCCCAGTGTCCAGGATGAAGTGGAGGAATCACTTGTCATCCACGTTGTCCTTTCTGTTCCAATCTCCTTTTTATTGCCTTCTTCTCATGTGGTCTTCTCCTCCTTGACTTCTGCTCTCTCCTCTTTTCCTTCTGCTCTCCTTCTGCTTTGCTTTCCTTCTGCTTTCCCCTCTTTTTCTGTTACTCTCCTTCTGCTTTCCATTCCCTTTCTTTTGCTCTTCTTCTGCTTCCCCTCCTTTTCTTTGGCTCTCCTTCTGCTTTCCCCTCCTTTTCTTTTGCTAACATTCTGTTTTCCTCTCCTTTTCTTTTGCTCTCCTTCTGCTTTCCTGTCCTTTTCTTTTGCTTTGCTTCTGCTTTCCATTCCTTTTCTTTTGCTCTCCTTCTGCTTCCCCTCATTTTCTTTTGCTCTTCTTCTGCTTTCCCCTCCTTTTCATATTCCTTTTGCTCTCCTTTTTGCTCTGCTCTCCTTACCGTTCCTTCAGCTAGTTTCCTTCTTTCTTTTTCTTTTCTTCTCCTTCTTCTGGGCACTGCAGGCGGGAGAATGCAGGGAGGGGTTATGCTGTGGCATGACATCATCGGCATCACAGGGTGCGCCACAATTGGCTGGCAATCGGCACTATCCGCGACCGCATAGCAACAAGACTGCGGATTGGCTGATTGCCAGAAGGTTAGAGTGCATGAGGAGGAGACTCACTCCAGCATGGATGGAACCCCTGTAAGTGGGTATTAGTAACGCCAACGCTGCGGTAATGCAGAAGCGGCATGGGACAGGGTTCCATGCTCCCAGTTAAATTTGGCGTATATTGTTTTGCTGAGGCAGCAAAACGATATAGGCCAAATTTAACTGGGGGGATTTCTCAATACCTTTCCCCCCACAGTATTCCCTGGGGGCGATGCGACCCCTCATCCTCACCGGTTTCTATGCCCATGCTGAGCAGGGATTTACCAAAGGGCAAGCTGCGTGTCCATTCTCTGAGTTCTCATATTCTATGATTTTTTCTTTTGCAAAGCAATAACTTGACACCCCTGCCCCCACCCCCGCCCCCTCCATTTAAAAGGGTAATCTAGACCCTGCAGTCACTATGTATCAAGGGGTTTCAGCTACACTGACGAGGCCCAAAGAAGCCGAAACTATTGTGTGGGTTGCTGCATCTCTCATGCAAAGAGAACTTCAGCATTTTGGTTCTGGACTGTCATTATGGTTGTGATTAGTCTGATATGCCTTAAAAATGGTTCTCTCTGTAATGGCACAAGTGAGCAAAAACCATTTTGAGACTGTGTGGGGATTAGCGAAGGGAAAGCTACTGAGCTCCTCTAAGCTTTTGTCCACTCTCTGAGTTCTTATATTCTATGTTTTTGTTGTGATATAGCATTTCCTCTTTTCTTTTTTTTCATACCTTGCACATTCTCGTTATACTCTACTACTATGTTTCCCAAAACCCCCTCAATAGAAGGGGTTTTTGTTAATCTTTTTCTTTATTTTTATAACAAGCATACATTACATTGTGTCCCTAAAAATCACCTCTTGTACATAAACTGAGAGAGAATATAGAAAAATATGGCACAACATTAACATTAAACATGTCCCTGCGGTATAAATCAAGGGGAGATAGAAGAGGCCTAGGCTTTATATGCTAATAGAGAAAAAAAAAACAAGTTAGATGTCAGATGGCTAAATTATCTTACGTGAATGGGAACAACCATTATATCATAATATCCTTCATATCATCATTATTCATACAATCCACTGCTCAAGTTCCTCTCGATTTAATCTATCTATACCCATCTTCATTTTAATCTGAACAACTGGCTGCTCCCTAACTGTTATCCAGCACTGGGATATAACCGTCTTCCAATTTCTGTAGTAATTTAGCAGCAGTCAGAAAATGGATAACAATAAATAAGTCTAAACCAAAAATGTTATATAAATTGATATGGAGTAGGAACAACTTGGGATTGAATTGAAAGGGTTTTTTGAGTAGTTTACATAAATCCTACTCCAAAATAATTGGAGCGATTGACACTCCCACCAGATATGAAATATTACCCTTTTTGGGCTTGGCATCTCCAGTATATGTCTGGGTAACTAGGATAAATCTTTGAGAGTCTGCTGGGAACCAAGTACCACCTGTTTAAATGTTTAAAGTGAGTTTTGGTTAGATTTAAACAATAGAATTTCTTGTTAATCCATTTTAGCGATTCAATCCAATCGGCCGTTTCGATTCTGATTTCTACTTCTTAGTGCTCCTCTAATTTGTCATGTCCCCCATTGTGTCTCAAACAAAACACTAGTATTTACAATCACCCCTCCATATTCTTTTTCTAGTGAGAGTCAAGACAAGATAATTAATAGGATATTCAAAATAAGGAAAGACATCACTGAGAGGAGTATATGTAGACATGTTCAAATACATACCTTCAGATGCAGATTTCAAAAGGGACAGCATGAAATACTTACAAATTACCATAATCATATTTTACATGTTATACAAATACCTTTTTGTATTGGAATTAAATTATTGACTAGTTGAATCACAAAACACATGAATTAAGCAAATTGCCTTTTATCTCTTTCCTACGGATACATTTTATTTCCCATGTGAAGATAAACATTTTACATAAAGCCTATATATAGAACATACCAGTACAATCTCAATATTTGTTATGGCAGTCAGTGTTCATCCTAATAAGACTACCTACAGTTTGTGTTCCAGTAAGGGAGAACATGTGCATGAGTTTAATATCTAGCAATTGTAGTACTTTTATACGAAGTGATAACTCAAGAGCTTACAATGTATTATAAATGAACCCTACTTAACGAGGCGTTCCTGTCTTGGTCTAAATTCCATAGTCCTAATTGCTTTCCCTATTCATACTGAGAATACTGGAGGGTCAGTTACTGGTGTGGACCTCATCATTCCACTTCCTTTTGGAGCAACATGTGGTTGGTTCTGCAAACACAACAAAGCAAAAGGTCATCACTAACAAGCCACAGAAACCAAACAAAGACAGCACACCTAGAGCGATGTGGTTCACTCATAGACCCCCAAAAATAGTCAGAAGCAAAAGGGAGAAAAGAGAAAGGTAACATCAGTAATATTATGTGTGCTATTATATATATGCATATTATTATTATTATTTCATTACTTGGTGCTGTAGAATGGGTGGACTAACAGACACGTAATTTTATCACATGACAGGAGGCTTCGTATTTTGCATAATCTTTCTTTACTAACTCCATAGCAGCAAAGAAAAGAGTGACATAACTGAGAACCAATCACAATGCAGTATAGAGTATAAGAGGTGTAACGTATGACATCATTTCCTCTTTCTTTGCTGCTCCATCACAAGATAAGTACAGACTTGGTTTTCCTCTCTGTCCTTACACTATTTGTCATCTATATCTAAGAACTATTGTCTAAATATTTCTATTACTATTACATTTATTCATTATGTTATTTTAAGTGCTTCTGTATTGTTACCTTTGGGGGCTCTTCCCCCCCACCCCTCTGGCTCTGGGACCTTTTCCACTGCTTTTATTTGGCTTACCCCTTTCAGGGAGTCTTAACGGCATTTTCGCCGTTTTCACCTATACTTCCTAGTGTCAGTTAAATTCGCGGGTTCTTTCCCGCCTTATCGTCATTCGCACGTTTTTTCGCGAACGGCACTTCTGTTCGCATAGACTTGTTCCCTTTGACGAACGCCTAGCGTTCGGCAATTCCCGCGAACGTCTCATATTAGGCGCTTGCATTCGTGCGTATTAGCCAAACGCTTCCGTTCGGCTGATTCGTACACGCGAACGCCCGCCGTTCGGGTAATTTTTGCCGCTCAAACATCTAGGGGAGGTACTAAAACCTCCCATTTCCTACTACTTTCAGTCCGGCGGCAATTTTAAACGGCTACTACTATCCTGCTTACTACTCCAGCCTATTATTACTGCCAGAATACTCTGGAATACTCTTTGAACTCTGCAGCCTTATCAGCTCACTGTGGGACCAGTATCAGGTTAGTGCTTTGCACTTGGGGTCGGTTTCAGCCAGTGGGAATACCCTTATTCTGGCAGGGGTGAGCCCCCTTTTATGTGCTGCTGAAAGGACCTGTTTATGCAGGATTCCAAATTCCTGATAGGGGAACAGACCCTGGGTGAGCCCCAGGAATCCGGGACCACATCCCTAGACACCCCACAAGAGGGTTCAGAAATATTTTTGGACAACTCTGGCCTCCGAATGTTCGATCCTAGGAACATTCGCCATCCCCGTTCGGAAGAATGGACACCACCCGAACACTTGACCAGATTCATGCACTTCTGGCTCCGGAAGTCTCTGGACAAAGAAGTGAGAAAGCGCATGAGATCTGAATGTCCTCGCCCGAGCCTACCAGATAAGGTAGCATACACCCCCGAATTCGACCCGCTCATGACCACATTCATGTCCCGCGGGGGTCGGGACCCACGTAAGGGTGTGGAACGTGGTTTCAAGGGAGCTCAGGACAAACTATTAGATGCCATCGGGCCTTTGGCGAGGATCATGGATATGGCAGATGATGCCTATGAAAGGGCTGATGACTTCTCCCCAGATATGGTGCGTGAGTGGGCACGAGATACCCGAGAGTGGGCACAAAGGTGCTTCTGTTTCCTCGGGAACACTAATGTGGCCCTCTCTTCGGAGAGGCGCCGAGCAGCACTTTTCAGAATCGATGACAAGCTTGTCGAACTGGGGGATAAAGAATTAGGCCCTTTGGCACAGGGCAAATTGTTTGGCGAGGCCTTCCTTACTGAGCTTAATAAGAGGGTCAACATATTCACTTCCCTCAATAAGGCACAAACATCAATGCGGAAAGTGTTCCGCGGCCACAACACCCGTGGTGTTTTTGGGAGGGCTGGTCGGCAGAGGGGCCGTGCCACCAGCTGCTTCTGGCCATCCGGCCCCCGCACAACCAGGTCGCAACCATTCTACACAGATCCATCTGCATGCCATCGATTCCATCAGTTCAGGGGATCGGAACGTGGCCGTGGCAGCCGAGGACGCTCCCGAGCGAGATTCTCCAACGGTAAGTTACCATTCTATACTACCTCTAACCCCTTGCCATATCGCAGGTCGTGTTTCTCTTTTTTTCCAGAATTGGGCAGACCTCTCCTCCGACACATGGATACTTCGGACGATGCGGGGCTATCAAATAGAGTTCGAGACGAGGCCACTCCAACAGGCACCACCTCGCCCGATTCAGTTTTCACGGGCAGACGCTTCTTTGATAGACATGGAACTTCAGGACTTACACTCCAAGGGTGCCATCCAACCAGCTCCAGACTCAACCGGGTTCTACAGCAATATCTTCCTAGTCAGGAAGAAAACTGGGGAATTCCGTCCCGTCATCAACCTCAAGGAGCTCAATTCCTATGTGGTGTACCGCCACTTCAAAATGGAGGGTATCCATCTTCTCCGGGACCTACTGCAAGACAACGATTGGTTCACGCGTCTAGACCTAAAGGACGCATACCTTACCATACCGGTGCACGAAAGGAGCCGCT